AAATTATATTTATAAAAAAATAGTTTACTATTAAATCTAAAACAAATTATTTCGTCATTAAGTTTAAATTAAATTATAATAAAAATTTGAACTAAAAAAATATACAAAAAATAGAACTTTTAAATTGTTAACTTTACACTAATGTCGATATATTCTTTTCAACATTTTGCGCGCTCTTCAAATTATATTTATTCAAATTTAAAAACGTTATATTTTCTCAAAACCATAAAAAAAACCGTATTATAAAATCGATAGAGGCAAATAATAAAATGAAACATTAGAATCGAAATGTATCGAGATGCACTGCACGAGTATGCTTCTGGTTATATAAAACGGAGATTCTGGATATTTTTGCTTCAATAATTTTTTTAAAATGGAGAAAGTATGAGATAAAGGTGAAATTCTTCAAATTTAGAGAACTTCCGAAATTTTACTTAGGAAAAAAAATGATATTTTGTTCTTCCTATCAATAAGAAATCTTGAAATTAAATGTTTAGGAGGGATAAATAATACTTTATTAATTGTATTAAATATTTTATTAATATTGTAATCTCCAAAATTGAGAAGCTGATTGAGATTAAAGTAATTTTTCTTTTGAAATTTTGTCTTTTTGATTCTCTATTTTAGAAAATCGGTTGGAGATGCTCTAATATAATAAGAACATGTCTAACAGATCATCTAAAATGGAGATTTTGGGTAAAACCTACTCCAACAGTTTTTTCAAAATAGAGAGAGTGGATTTTTCCAAATTTGAAGAACTCCCCAAAAATGCTATTTTCGAAAATATTAACAACGAAAATATCGCCAGAATAATTAAACTCACAACCTCAAGTACAATTATAGACATCATTACTAAAGACAACTTTTTATTAAATTTTCTCCTATTTTGATTTTATTATTTTTCATGATTTTTTTTTCTTTTTCAAAACCAGTTCTTATTAAAAATTGTCGTTTTTTTATTTCATTCTCTAGATAATATATACTTGTTTTAAATATTAAGTTTGATTACGTTTGAAAATATTTTTCAAATTGGCACAATTGACTCTTTTTTGGTTAAACCGCGTGACCCCCCAACAATCAAACTATGATTTTGCGAACCAACCTTAAAAATGTACCCGTCCAAAAGAATTCTTAAGTCTGTCATTGTAAACAATATTCAAAATTGTCAATAATTATTTAACAAATAATATTTTCAAAACATGTATTTTGTGTATAAAAATCTCATAAACTAAGTCCCTGGTCTTGTTTTGGCATATAGAATTTTGCCATAAAACATACATGTGATATATATATATATATATATATATATAATTTTTCTTTTAATTCTTTTTAGCATAGAGATAAGATTAGAAATTTTAGTCTCTGGTTCGAACAACAGAGGAAGAAAGAGGAAGAAAGCTTACATGATTTTATTTGAATTTTCTGTCGGTTTAAAGTATTCCATCTATTTGTGAATTCAAGGTTAGTTTTTATTTTAAAAGCTTCATTCGATATATTTTTATAAGAAACCGTATGGTTTGAAGTGGGTTTTTGCGAACACAAGTATTTGTTGTTTGTTAGCATAATTGGGTTTTGATTTTGTATTATAACTTGTATGAAATAAGGATGACATAGTCAGGAGATGTGTATATTGAGATAAATGTAACATAATCAGAAGATGTGTATATTGAGATAAAGGTGACATAATCAGAAGATGTGTATATTGGGATAAGGGTGACATAATCAAAAGATGTGTATATTTTGAAATAAGGGTGACATAATCAGGAAAGACGTATATTGGGATAAGGGTAACATACTCAACAGTTTGTTAGATGAGATTTTGATCATATGTGTTACTGTT